CGGGGGGACGGCGGGCGCAGCCGGTAACCCGGGCCACTGGGCCGGGGCCCACGACCCCACTCCCGCGTCTCGTGGCCCTGCGGCCGCGCCTCAGCCTCGCAAAGGGAGTTCCCCGCCCACGGGCCCCACCCTCCGCTCTTCACGGGGTCGCCCCGCCCCGGGGCGGAGTCACTGCCCGGGAAGCCCCGCCTTCCGGCGAGAGCGCGGGTCCTCCCCTCAGGCCACGCTCCTGGAGCCCGGGTCCGACCCGTCGCCTGCCTTCGGGCTGCTTTGCCCTGACCCGGTGTAGCTTCTCGAGCATGTTCACGCACATCAGCTCGTTTTCATTTCTGTTAGGAATTTATGGCAGGTGTTGTAGTAGAAAATATTTAGTTCCTCTCTCTTTCATCTACTCGCTTGGCAAACACGTCTTGAGCACCTATTCTGTACCCACCCCTTTGCTGGAATGCTGGGGATATAGCACTGAGGTAAGAGATGGTCGCGGTGGGAATAGGCCAGCAGGATGAAGGCTCCTTATGGCTAATGGAGGGATTTTCAAAGAATTCACGGAAAATCTTATGGGGAAACCACACATGTATTTCAAAAAAGTTTTGCACCAAAATAATTTGTTTCTTTGTTTCTCCACAGACTTTTTGTTGTCTCTGCCAACAGTGCTACAGAAGACGGACCTCTTCCCCCCTCAATGTGTGTGTGTGTGTGTGTTGAGGGGGAGGCAAACTTCTTTGAGAGCCACTGGGCTGAAAGAAAGATGAGAATGAAATTAGCCAGGAAAGAAGAGGACAGGGGGTTGGAAGACTAGAAAGACCAGTCATCCAGAGCTGAGGAAGAGCATGGGTCCAGTGGGAGTACATAGCAATGGGAAAGTGCCAGAATATGGATGACCGAGGAGAGGAAGTGAGGAGATCAAGATGCTGTCTCAGAAACTCATTGGAAACCAGTTTGGTGAGTAGAGATGAACTATTCCTAAAGGCAATGATGAAGTAATTTAACTTTTTTTTTTTTAAGAGAGATTTTTGTCATAGGGTGTGTGTGCTCACCAGATTTATAGAGTAAGAAACATCCTACCCTATGCCCCTCCCAGCGGGATGACAACACCACAATCCCTTCACCTCCATTCTCCTCTCAGGAGGAGAATATGTGCATGCACATACGTTTCTGGCGTGAGTTTCAAGTCCCCCTAGAAATGGAACCATGGTTAACCATGTGTGAGTCAATCGCCTTAACCACCACCCCACCTGCTGGCCTGTTCATCAAAGCTTTTTTTTTTTTTGGGGGGATTTTCACTGTAGGGCGCGTGCGCTCGCCAGACAGACAGAGAGAGACATAGAGACAGAAAGCGAGAAATCACCCCCCAGGGGGGATGGTCACGCCGCAATCCCTTCTCCTCCATTCTCCACTCGGGATCTTGGGCACGCACGCACACGCGCCTGGCGTGAGTTTTAAGCCACCGGGTCCGGGACACGAACCGCGGTCAACTACGTGGGAGTCCAGCGACATAGCCATTACGCTAACTGCTGGTTCCCAAGGGTTTTAATCAAGTAATAGGTATGGTCAGATTTTTTTACTGAGGGCTGGAGGCCTAGAGTATCCTAATGACAGGTGATGGATACCGAAATTAGTGTTTTCTGATACCCACACTACCCGTGGTATAGAGAGTGAAGTGGGTGGCCTGCAGAATACTTAAAAGGTGGATGGGGCCAACTCTGTGGACTAGTGGTTATTCCCCATGGTTGACTATGCAGTTTAAGTCCTGGAAAAACACAGGCGTGAGTGTGCATGCCCAAAATCTCAAACGGAGGGGAAAAAAAGGAAGGGATTGCAGCTGCATGACAGTTCCCCATGGGAGTGCTTTCTCACTCTCCCTCTCTTTCTCTGGCAAGCTCACATGCCTATAGCCAAAAAAATAAATAAATAAATAAAAAAGATGGGATGAGCAGGGTTTATTGACTGAGTTACAGAAAAAGAGGATTCTAGATTTCTGGTTGGTACACCTGAGTGAATGTGGTGCCACAGGTGTTACAGTTCTGACACAGAGGCTTTCTTCAGATGTCTGACGACCTTTACTTGTCTGCTTATGTTTAAAAGTGGATAGTCTCAGGCTTGTGGTAGTGATTGCTATAAATGACCTGATGAGTGTAGTCCTGATAATCTTTGAGACAGATCATTTTGGTAAGAAAATGAGTTTGGGGAAAATATTGCTCTTTCACTCCTGCCATTGGAAGACTGGAAACTGAATAAAGTGCTATAAATAAGGTGCTGAAGGGAGACACCACTTCAAAAACTGTCTTGGCAATCTTCTCAGTGGTTTTGGTCCTGGTTTCAAATTCCCACACAAAACCTCAGATCAAATGTTTTCCTTATCCACTCCTACCATACATAGCTGAGGAAACTTTTCTTATTGTGCTTAGATGACTTTGCCTCCTATTTCAGAAGGACAATTAAAACTATTATGAAGGGGAGCCAGCAGGTAGTGGTTAAGGTGCTGGACTCCCACGTGGCTAACCCCCATTCGAATCCCAGATTTGTTGGCTTGAAGATCACTTGGTGTCTGGAAAAATCACCCTAAGTACATGTGTGTGCATTCCCAAAATCCCAAGAGGAGGGTGGAGGAAAAAGGATTGTAGTGTGGCCATCTCCTCCTGGGAGTGATTTCTCACTTTCCCTCTCTGTCTCTCTGGTAGCACACACACTCTATGGCAAAAACCTAAAATAAATAAAAATATACATACATACCTTAGCAAGAGATTTTAAAAAAATGTTATCAATAAGCTCTTCTTTAATCGGAGGAAATTTTACCTTATTTTGTTTTTTCCTTCATGAACTTCTATTTTCATTCTAAATTCCCCTACTGGATTATTTATTTATTTAACAAATAATTATATACCACTACCCTTGTATGTACCAGATATTTTACAGCGTAAGTGTCTCAGTTTGAGTTTCCTGGTAACCAGATTCTAAGACTGAGAATAGGGTGTAGGATATTAATTGTGGAGAATGCTTGGAATCTTACCTGTAGATGGTGGTGGTGGTGGTGGTGGTGGTGGTGGTGGGGAGATGTGCATAAGAAGAAGGATTGGGCAGAGGGAGAGGTTGAGCTGTGATGCAGTTCCAGCAAAGGCCTCAGCCAAACCATTAGAAACTCTGGAATTGGACTGGTCACTCAGAGTTGTCCTGAATTGGGGTCAGGAACTCAAGTCTACCCACCATATGGATGTGTCATTGGATGTGAGCTGCTCCTTGAAAGAAGTGTGATTTCAGTAAGCCAGTTTCCTCATACAGGCAGTCTCTAAACAGAGCTGATAGCTGAGGACTATCTACTGGCAGCACTCCCAGCAACTGGAAGAATTATCATTCTTTATTAAAGGAGGATTTGCAGGTACATCACAGAGACTGTCACAACTTTACTGAACTTTATTATTTTCCCTATTTTGCAGATGAGGAAACTGAGGCATGGAGTGGTTATATAATTTACACAAGATCACATTTCTTGATGGATCTAGAATACAAATCCAGATAATCTGGCTTCAGCATTGTGCTTCTAACCACTGTCTCATAAACTATGAAATGAAACAACCATTTGCTCTAATTATATACAACTATTAAAACAATCTCTTTTTTAAGAGATTTTTGCCACAGGGCATGTGCACTCTCCAGAGAGAGAGAGACAGAGACAGTGAGAGGGAAAGTGAGACCCCCCCCCCGACGGCAGATGGTCATACCACAATCTCTTCTTCTCCATTGTCCCTCTGGGATCTTGGGCAAGCACACACACGTGCCCAGCATGATTTTCAAGTCATGGTCCAAGACTCGAACTGAGGTCATCCACATGGGAATCCAGCGCTGTAACTACAATTCCATCTCCTTGCCCCTAGAACAATCTTTTAAAGCAGGGGTTGGCAACCTTTATTTGTACAAGGCCACATAGTAAATATTGTCAACTTTGCAGGCTGTACAGCTTCTCTCACAGTAATTTTATTTTTCTGTTGTAGTGCAAAAAGAAGGATATATAGTACATAAACAAATAGGCATGGGTATGCACCAGTGAAACTTTATTTATAGAAACAGGTAGCAGACTGGGTTAACTTGCTGACCCCTGTCTTAGAAAATTATTTAAAGATTAAGAAAATGCTTATGGCTTATTGTTATAGCAATAAAACAGTACTGGATGGAATAAATATAATTACCCTAACCTTATTTTTAAAAAATACTAAATTAAAAGCATTTTTAAATTTAAAATTTACTATTTAAAGTTTTTTCTTTATGAGAGAGAGAGAGTGCGCACATGCAATAGATATTTTTGATAGGAGTTTGTTGTGTTGTGATTCTCTTGCCTCAGTCTACCAATTAGCTAAGATTATAGGCATGCATGGCTGCACTTACCCTGCTCAGTTTGACCCTGGGAACCAAACCCATGCCTATTTGGCTTTCAGCTGATCAAACAGTAAGTGCCACTGTGACTGGCTGGACCTTACCAGGATAAATTTTGAGTAGAGTCCCTGTGTAGGAGGTTTACAAATGATCATTATTCCTTCACTATATTTTTCTGAGTTTTCAGAAATAAAGATGTAATTTTTTGTTTATATTAAAGTGTAAAACAAACTTTTGTTTTAAGTTTTTGCTATAGGGCGTGTGAGCTTGCTGTAGAGATGCAGAGAGAGAGAAACAGTAAGAGGAAAAGTGAAAAATCACCCCCTCCCCCAGGGAGAATGGCCACACCACAATCCCTTTCTCCTCCAGTTTCCTCCTGGGATTTTGGGCATGCGTGCATACACACTGGGCATGATTTTCAAGTCACTAGGTCCAGGACTCAAACCACAGTTGGGCCATGTGAGAGTCTAGCACCTTACCTACCATGCTATCTGCTGGCCCCTGTAAAAATGTTTTTGAGGAAAAACAATGACTGTTATTTTAAAGAGTATAGTTGGAGAGATTAGGATGCTATTAGGTCATCAGGAAAGTCATGCATCAGGAAAGTCATGACATGTTTTTCTATGCAAAAATGCATCTTGACTTTCATGATGACCCATAAATTTTATAATGATAGACACATCATAATTTTATACCTAACAGTTAAGGCAGGAATAAGGTTCAAGCAACATATTAGGTACCTTATTAATTGGGGCAGTGTTAGAATGCCTCCTGTAACATGATTGATGTTTACTTTTCTCCTTTGCTCACTTGCTTTTTTTTTTTTTTTTAACAAAGTTTTTGTTTCATTTGTGGGTAATTTGGCTCATTCTTTCTGATAATTACTAACGTACTTGAGTATTAGCCAGCAGAACTATTATCAAATTGGCACTGTTAACCCCACTGTTAATCCCACAACTGTTTTATTGTCTGTTCTTTATCCTTTGGATTAATTTGAGTAATTCATATTTGGGGTTTTCAAACAGATGATGTGGCTAAATTCTATCAATTTTTCTGCTCCCATGACTACTGCTCTTGTTTAGGTGTTAATTACTCCTCACCAGACAGTCTCCTCAACTGGCCTCTGACTTCTCTATTCCTACTTATGTTTCCTATCTCCTATGTGTGACCAGATTGTTCTTCCTGTAGCACACCTTTAGTGACCCTTTACTTAGACAACTTTACTGGTTTACGTTCCCTGTAGGCCAACATACAGACTCCTCAGTTTGGACTCAAGGTGTCAGTATTATAAGTAGAATTGGTTGATGAGAAATAAATTTTGTTTTCAGTGAATCAAATTAACTTCAAAATTCCCTAAACCAGATAAAGTCCAAAGCAACTGTATAAGCAATATTTTGTTGGTAGTAAAATGAGACAAAATTCCCGGAGCCAACACCAGAAGATAGATAGGTATCAGACTATAAAGACGATGCATTCGGAACCAGCATAATGTTGAGAAGACTAAGTCTCCCCAAAATCAAAGCATATCTGATTCGCCTTAGTCAATAATTTGGACTGTTTCGGATGCAATGTAC